TCGATTAGTGACAGCGATTTCCAGAAAGGCTTCACACCTTTACACAAGCCTGATACGAGCCATTCTGAGACTCCTATTTATTTATTATTTATTTATTTTTTTATTGAACTGATACAGTGAGGTACAAAATATTACATGCAACAAGCCAAGCCCCTTGTATGAAGACTTATAACGGCTTAAATTACTAAGTTAAACCCAGCATGATATATCCACGTTAAAACATTATTGTACGATAACATTACCCAAAATGACATTACAAGACGCCATGTGGTTCATTTACTGTGTTGTGAGGCATTCAGCAGAATGGAGTATTCTTTAGGTAATGTAATTAAAAATAAAGTTGATTGGGTCACAGGTTAGACATTTTATGAGATGCAATAATGAGAAACATTTACGAGATACAATTTAGGGAAATACATTTATTCATTATTTATTGCTGGGGGTGAGTAAGTGATTTTTGAGAAAGACTTGAATTTAAAAAACAGTGTTTCTTTTATATTCACAGGTAATGAATTCCAGATATTAGGGCCTTTTATGTGCATTGAGTTTTTGCATAGCGTGAGATGGACTCGAGGACCATCAAAGATCGTGGCCTTGTGTTATGGTCGTGTGTTCTGTTGAGGTTGGTAAGGAGACGTTGAGGGAGGGTTTATATCGAATTAAGTGTTCTATGAATGAAGTAGGAGCAGTAATAAGTATGGATGTTTTGAATGGTGAGTAGGTTTAGAGTTTTGAATATTGGGGGAGTGTGCTGCCTTAGTGGGAATTTGTTATCATTCGACTGCAGCCTTTGTTGGGAAATTTAAATGGTCTGAGATGGTTTATTGTTGTTGAGCCCCATGCACAAATCCATAGGTGAGATAGGGGTAATAAGTGAGTGGTATAGGGCCAGGAGGGGGGACTGTGGAACAAAATTTACCGTATCTTGATAGTATGCTACGGTCTTGGAAATTTTTTTGGAAATTTGTTGTATATGTGTTTGAAATTTGAGTCTATTATCAAGGTGGATTCCTAAGAATTTTCCCTCTGTGAGGTTTGTGATAGGTGATCAGTTTATCATTATGTTAAGAGGGACGTCTGTAGCTCTGTTACCAAACTGAATGAAGTAGGTTTTGTCAATGTTTAGAGTAAGTTTGTTAGTACTCATCCAGGTAGATATTTTCTGTAATTCGGTATTTACAGTATTGGCTAGCGTGACTGGGCTCGGGTGAGAGAAGACGTATGGTGGCCTGGTGGTTAACGCTCTTGCTTCACACGGCGAGGGCCTGGGTTCGATTCCCAGCCAGAGTAGAAACATTGGGCGTGTTTCTTTCTACCTGTTGTCTATGTTCCCCATCAGTTAAATGGGTACCTGGGTGTTAGTCGACTGGTGTGGGTCGCATCCTGGGACACTGACCTAATTTGCCCGAGATGCTCAGCATAACAAGTGGCTTTCTATGTAGTAGTATGTCATTGTTGTCAGCTAGGACTGTATACCTTGTACATGTACTTGTAGTAAATAAAGATTATTATTATTATTATGTAGTGTCATCTGCAAATAGTATGGGTTTGAGTAGTTGCGATGCATTTGGTAGGTCATTTATGTATATGAGAAAGAGAAGAGGGCCTAGGACACTTCCCTGTGGGACACCAACTGTGATTGGCTGTGCGGAAGAGTTTGCCCCGTTTGTGTACACATATTGGCTTCTGTTGCTGAGGTAAGACTTTAGGTAGTTGAGGGAGTGCCCTCTAATACCATAGTGTGACAATTTTATGTGGAGCAAGTCGTGGTCAACTGTATCAAAAGCTTTACGTAAGTCAATGAAGATCCCCAGTGGGACTTCTTTTTCTCTATTGCAGTGTATATGTGTTCTAGCATGTGTATAATAGCATCATTAGTATTTTTATTAGGCCTGAATCCAAATTGACAGGGGTTGAGTATGTCGTGGAAGATGAGGTAGGAATAGATTCGCTTATGAATTAATTTTTCGAGGAATTTAGAGAGAGGGTGTAAGTTGGATATTGGGCCCAAAAGTTATTCAAGTCGTGTGTCCCCCTCCTTTATGGATCGGGGTGACCTTGCTTTTTTGAGAACTGTAGGGAAGGTAGAGGATTCTATGGATTTGTTAAAGAGTGTTGCAATGATTGGTGATAGTACTTGTGACGCTTTTTTGTATATAAAGGGTGGTAAGGTAATTTAAAAACTCTGTCTTGTTTTTTAGTGCGTTGATAATAAGGGGGACTTCAGTAGGGTTAGTCGGGGCTAGGAACAGTGTTTTTCGGGTAGTTGCCAGTGAGTAGTCATTGGGTGGGGTATCTGAGCTTGGGATTTTATTGGCAAGGCTTTTTTCCTATAGTGGAGAAAAAATTATTGAGTCTGTTTGCTGTTTCTGTTGGTGGGAGCTGGGGTTCATCTGGTTTTGCTAATTCAATTTCGCTATTTCGTGATATATAACAATGGTTATAAATGACCATAATTTTTAAAGGGGTGGACCGGTAAGCCAGCGGAAGGCCTCGGTCAGATGACCAAAAGCTCCAAAGGCGGGTCATCATCTGACTAAGACCCGCGTCAGGAAACATTTGTCCTGTTTCCTGACGAACCTTACCTAACCTAACCTTTTTCGTGATATCTTTTTTGTTCCCAGAATTTCTGATAGGGTTTTCCAGGTCTTTTTTATGTCACCTCGTAAGATGGATAATCTGTTCTCATAATACAATTTTTTAGCCTTTCTTATCAGGCTGGTTAGGATTGATGAGTAACGTTTTGTTTGGTCTCTGGTTATGTGACCCATTCTGTACTGTTTTTCGTATAGGTGCTTTGTATTTATGGATTTGAGGATACTGGGTGTTAGCCAGGGACTGTTCAGTCTCTTAGCTGTCATCTGTTTAGTTTTTTTGGGGCAGTGCTTGTTATAAAGGTATTGGGTCTTTTTTAGAAAATTATTAATACATTCGTCAATATCTGTATAGATTTCTAGCTCAGTGTGCCAGTCAATGTTTGTCACTACTGCTGTGAAGTTATTAATGGCTGCCTCATTGTGAAGTCTGAAGGTGACTTTAGTAGTGTCTTGGGGTAATTTGCCAAGGTTTGTGATGAGGAAGGGAGGGTAGTGGTCTGTGGTATTACTTGTGTTATGCCTGATTTTAAAGGGGATATGGTGTTGGTCCAGATGTGGTCTAGTAGGGAAACACTAGTCTCTGTAACTCTTGTAGGTTTTGTTACTGTTGGTAGCAACATGCAGTTACTCATAGTGTTTGGAATTCAGTAACGTGTGGGTCCTGGTCTTGCAGGAGATTTGTATTGAAGTCTCCTCAAGCAAGTGATCTTTGTTCATGCGTGCATCAGTTATCATACTTCCTAGGTTGTCACTAAAACGGCTAATGTTTGACTCCCGGTACTCTGTTTATCACTGTAAGAGGTTTTTTTTAGGTATTTGGATTTGAATTTAGCTATTTTTATATTCACCATGTTCATCCCTGTGCAAGTATTAGTGATACATTCTAGTTGGTCTGAGTAGTATATAGCTGTGCCACCCCTTGTTGATCTGGCCTACATATGTGTATGGCTGTGTAACCAGGAATGGCATAGACATCTGTAGTATCAGGCTTTAGCCAGGTTTCGGTGAGAGAAATGATGGATATACTGGAATACAGGGAATTTAGTATTGCTATGAGGTATCGTAATGTTTACTTAAAGATCTGATATTGAAAGTAAAGACAGTTATGTTTTTGTTGGCTCTGAGAAGTGCCTTTGATGTTCACTGTGTAGTAATTACAGTTACCTGTTTTATTCATTTAAGTCATTCATAAGAGGTTGGTATCGGATCAATGTTGTTATCAAAAGATTTATAGTGAATCTATAGTTTAGAATGAACATAACCACCTTGAAAGAACTAGTTAACGATCATACCATAAAACATCACCACCGCACACAAAGGATCATGGTGATCATGGTCTCCACAGACTATGAACAGAATTCAAATTCAAATTCAAATTCAAAGTTTATTCTCTATAAGGATTACAATGCTGAGTTTACAGAATTTGGTTATTGTGTGGTTTACATGTAGTAAAATAATAATTACAGAGTGTACCACTAGAACACCTAGCATGGCTAGGCATTTCGGGCAGACTTAGATTAATTCTTAAATTTAAAATATTACAAAATTATGAGGTAAGTTGGTATTATGGCTAGGTGACTAAATACTAGTTTGTGAGTTTAGCAATGTGGGAAAGCTTTGTTTGGCACTATACATAGTTTCAGTATTGGAGTATCACAGGCCAACTTATGACTAGTTAAGATTCATTATTTTGAGACTGTCATTATTTTGAGATTGTCCCCGTGCACATTTACAAATAACAAGTCAAACATTTCCAACATGAGATCCGTGCTGTTCATTGTGAACCGAATAAGGAAATGTCTTCTGCATATGATTCTCTGCACACTCAGACCTGCACACATGAACGGACTACGGAAGTTACACAAGCCGGACATACCCATGAGACCTATAACCTCGATCAGAGGCAATGTTCCAAACTATCTAGCAGGTTAAATGGCTAAACACTTCTTATAGCTCCTCAAAACCATCAGCACGGCTAAGTTTAGACACTCGAGGGATCTTATTAGCAGGATAAAAGGCACACTTGCATCAGGAACAAGAAATAAGTCACTCTGTCTGACTTTTTTGGGTTATCCTAGGTTCCCTACACATATGCTGCTATGTATGATAATTCTATGTAACTGTATTTGTGTATACCTGAATAAACTTACTTACTTGCTTACTTACTTACTTAAATCTCTGAGGCCGCATCATTATTTACTAAGGTACCTGATACACAAGCTGGTGACCATCGCTGGGAGATTCACAATGTACTCAACTTGTATATTTCTCTCCAAAACTTCCTCTTTTGCTGACTCCATGTACAAGCAGTCATGTGGCATGACCACGGGCTCACTAAGAACATTCTTGACAAACCTGTACATGGATTACTTGGAGAACAAGAATGAAAAAGGCAATATCCCTAAAGAGGTAACATGATTAAAACACACAGTCGACACCCTGGTTTATAGTTCAAACATAGCATGTACTGTTTAGTTTACTTTCAACGATTCCGTAGGAATTTAGTTCCACACTGACAGGTCCTAAAAAAAAAAGTTGATAATTAATAACAATCTATGAAAGCCTCTCCACTACACTTCGACACCGAACCAGGAAAACACCACGCAATGGCAGACAAACTCCACCCCGGAGCCTACATACGTTGTACATACTTCTCTATATCCAGCATCATGGTCGCCAACATATCCTCCCGACACAATAAATATTTACTAAACAAAAAGGTAACGCAAGTTACAAGATAAGTTTTACTTGGGTGAATTTCCGGGACCTGAATGCAAGGATGAACTAACACAGAAGTACCCTTGTGAGGAACAATGCAGTTCGGTATATTGCATCAAAGCTAATTTTGAAGCTTGATGATTCCGTGACTCACGAAATCGAAATGACACGATTGCAAACAAACCATACCACGGGTGGGGGATAGAAACTCCCGATCCCGAGAGTCTCAAACTCCAACTCGTCGCTTAGCCACTGGGACCAGCTAGCCAACAATAAGATACGTTCAAACTAGGTATATTTCTACACCATAGGAAGGTTTTGCATAGGCACCACTGTGACCACAATGGAGTTTTTACAGACGAATCTCCACTAGCGTGGCTGAGACCCGATACTCTAGCTCAATCCCCTCAAGGCCGTTAACCATGACCACGAAATCGTAATGACACGAACTTATTGTGGCTAGCTGGTCCAGTGGCTAACGCCAACGGTCGGACGTTTTGAGACTCTGATCGTGGGATCTATCCCCGGCGTGCCGTGGTATGGTTTGATGATTCCTCTAGAGATTCTCATTACAAGAGACTCCGTGTCATAGCCTGTGAGAATTATTTTCGAATTTTGGGTTCGCATATAACGTTACCGAGGCAAATTTAACTAAAGAGCATCCAGTAAAGTGAGTACTCCTGTGAGAAAACATGACTGTAAATTATATTAGTTTAAATATTAATATATATATATATAAAAATATATATATATAATATAAAGAATATACGGATATATATATATATATATATGAGTATATATATATATATATATAGATATATATATATATATAATAATATCCTTCATGACATTCTACAGTAGTCAGTTACCGAACACACATTGAGATACAGAAGACAAACACTTAGAGATTACAGAGACACACATTGAGATTACAGAGACAACACATTGAGAGTACGAGCACACATTGAGATTTACAGAAGACACACTAGAGATTACAAGCAACATTGAGATTACAGAACTACAAATTGAGAGTACATAGACACACATTGAGATTACAGAGACACACAATGAGATTACGAGACACACATGAATACAGATACAACAAATTGAGATTACAGAGGCACACATTGAGTTACAGAGACACACATTTAGATTCACAGAGACAACACATTGCTATTACATATACGACACATTGAGATTACAGAGACACACATTGAAGGATTACAGAGGCACACAATTGAGATTACAGCGCACCCCATTGAATTACAGAACACACATTGAGATTACAGTGCACACATGACATTACAGAGCGACACATTGAAATTACAGAGACACACATTGAGATTACAGTGCACACATTGAGATTACAGAGGCACACATTGAGATTTACAAGACACACATTAATTACAGAGGCACACAATTGCATCGAAACTGGGGGCCTCGCGGTAACAATGTTATATATTTATAACTTGAGCTTATAATATTACAAAATTCCAGAAGGAAGCACTAAACCGTAAGGGAGAGACAGATTCTGTGGAATAAACAATGAGGTTTCAGCCCAAGAAAAGGAAGGATCGCTCAATTTCCTGCATCTAGGAGCCCTGTCTTAACAACCTCACTTAACCAACACACCGGATGCAACACAAAATTATACTAACACACTGTAGCCGATAGGGTAAAATGCACAACATTTTCGAGAAACTGTTAAACTGACTTAACCTAAATTAAAAAAATAAGAAACATTTTAACGGGTAAATAAAAAAGAATGTAGAATAGTTAAGCAAATTTGCAACTAGAGAAAACGAATTCATTTTCTGTATTTACATGAAAGAAGACTCGGTAATGTTCACTTAATTTGGTTTAGATTACACTTTTTTATGCCCCTGAACAACACACAAGACTTTTCTGTGTTTATTACAGCACATTTTAAGCCAAAAGCACAAAGTCCACTTGCGCTAGACGTTTGAACCAAGTCAGCCAGCTTATCAGGAGAAGGCTTCAGCTGTTTCCAATCTCATCCCCTGTCATGCATCAGCCTTACTAGAGATTATAAACAATGCAAGGAAGTTCGCAGAGCAGCGAAAGATACACAACCTCACCTGGTCTCGGGCTGCTCTTGCGAATTGCTTGCATTGTTCATATCCTAGTAAGGCGAATGATGCATGCAGGGGATGAGATAAAAGCCGCAAGCCTTCTCCCTGAAAAGCGGCTGCCTTGGATCAAAGTCTCGTAAAACTGGACTCCAAGATTGTCCAGTGTGGGTAGATGTAAAAACACTGCGTACCTTGTTCCAAGGTTCGTAGTCGATCTGCTTCCCCAGAAGATCATGTTTTGTGTTGTGTGTATATATATATATAGTCTCTATCCCACAAAACACCCCGCCCACCTTCGTCACACTCACTACACAAGAGCAGCCTACACACCAACACGAGCGCTACTCTACTCTCACAGCGAGCAGTATGGGGGGTATTGGATTTGTAAGTCTACTTCTCTCTACACTCTCTCGACTATCTCTCTCTATAACGAGTGTGGAGGTCTGAGATGTAGGGCAGGATATGATGAAAACCAACCTCCACCCAGATCTGCGCGCCCCTCTACTCTTAGACCTCACCACGATCCCTCCCCACAATCTAACAACCCCATAATTGACTCTCACCCAGCACACTCCTCTATGACCAGCCAGCACACTTACTAACCGCCAAATGCCCTCGCGCCACCCACAACACCCAGTCATACCCGCGATAACCCCACCCAACCGCACATACACACCACACCTCCTCTCTCGCAAATACACAATCACGACACCCCATCAAAGAGCACGAATGAAGTTAATAAGGTAATATATTGAGATAGTAACTGGTAAGATTTTGAAATTTATAAGATAAACTTTTGTTTTTATGGTAAAGTTTAATATATAGTTGGGAAAAATTACATATGGTGGTTCAATTGAATGGGTGGTACATAGAAGCATGAACTGGGAATACAATCAATTTGACAAAATGAATTATAACTTACAATATAGTTCAAGGACAGTTCCCCAAAAACTAAGCCACATACCAAGACCGAGACACAAAATACGCGCCTAGCCATACTCGCCCAAGGCTCCACATCGCCTCCAGAGACTTTCAGCAGCCTTCGCCCGACCCTGCATCCCCAGCAGCTTCTCCGCTCGAAGTCCTTTCATCATGCTCTCCTTGGCTTAGATGGTGGTCCAAGCCCCCTCCACGTGAGTTGCAACACGCTACGACCTGACGACGCGAAGATCGGACCCATGACGAACAAAGAACTGAGACTTATGCCCGAAAAGGCGTGGGGCTTAGCCACTTGCCAAGGCAAGTGACCATAATAATTAGTCTCTCTCGAGACCTCACAAGCCCTCATATATATATATATGATAGTATATATTTACTTTATATAATATATATATAAATATAAATATATATTATATATAGAATATATATATATATAATAAGATCACAGTAAACAGTGATTTCAGAATATGGCAAAACAACCACTCTGAAAGAATAGAGAAATCCAAGCGCTTTTTCCGTGACTACTCACATTACAAGGATAGTGCCTTTATAATGTAGTATCACGAAAGCGCTTGGAAATTTCTCTATTCTTTCGGAGTGGTTGTGTCTGCATATATATATAAATATATATATATATATATATATATATATAAAAATATATATAAATATATAAATTATATATATTATATATAAGATATATAATATGTGACGAATAGGTAAACGTTGCAATTTTGCCTGTAAAAGGCTGCTGTCAAACAGAAAGTCTGTGTTTGTTTAATGGGCACAGAAGTGAAACTATAGACAGTGAGTTAGGAACCTCACAGGGAGTTTGCTCAGTTCCACCCTATACAATAATTCAAATTCATGCTTGTACTAAATGCTATCCTAGCCAGCCCCATCTTATATGATTAAGCTGTGAATCAACAACCCAGTAACAGACTGTCACACATAAACGTAACTCCAAAATGTGTACGTTGTGACGAACAACATTGGACCCATTATTGTATTCATGACACATCAATGGAGGCACGTAAAACAACGTGTACTCACTGAAAAGGTGGCATCAAGTGTTTAGGTGAACACAAGAGAAATGCTCACTGAAGAAAGTGTTTTAAATGCAAGGTATGCATCATACAGCATTATGCCAAACACTTATATCTGAACAGCGAAGACTTCCACAGAATCTGAAAAGTCAAAACAACAGCATTAACTGTGAGAGTAAGGTTTAAAGCAACAGCTCTCCAGTAGCTCGAGTTGAGGTACTAATAAACTACACAAAGAACCAATGTGCTAACATTATTAATCAAATGCTCACAAAGATCTTTCTTAAAAGAACAGTGTTGCAGAAACTGAATATATAACCCCATGCCAAAGTACAGTCGATACAAATGTTTTTTTTCCCACAATTCTGGTAAACAGACATAATGACCTAGCCAAATTTACGTTGTCTAGGAAACAGTATAATGACAAAGCTGTGTTAGTAGATGAGTCCTAAGTTCTGTGCACATCTAGGGATTAAAAAAACAGCTGCACACGATGCAAGCTCAAAGGTCAAGTTACCTTCCTGACATACAATGACAAAATTAGTCAATTGATTTAATCATTGGAAGTGATTATTATCACTGTTTTTTTTGCAATATAGTAAGTAAACATGATGTTTCACGTGCTGAATACACAGGAGCCACATTGATATGTGTCCCATTTCCCTCTCCAAGTGGGAAAGAAACTGAATATTGATGCAGTGGACAATGTACTAGTTACGCGAGAATAACCGCTGATCATGTACCACAGCAAAAATTAATATTACTTTAAGAAATGAATGAACCAGTTGAATAAGGATAGGATAAATACAGACGGATTTAGAATGCGATAGTATTGATGATAAATAAACAACCCCAAAAAGTCTCAGACTTATAAACCAATCATTTGGACTATGTCAAATATAAGATGTACAGTATTGATACACAAATACCCCGTCACATAAAATTGTAGACTTTGTCAATGTCCCAAGTCGGACCGAAACGTCGTCCGTAAGCTTCTCTCTTTTATGTGCGGGTTATTTTATGTATCGTTCCAGTCACTGTATTGTGCCGTTTTGGATATTTGTGGACAGTAATTGGGTTAGTTAACCATGGAAATAAAAATCCACCCACATCAACCTAGCAATTATCGCATGCTTTCGGACAAAGAAAGCACAAACATGAGCTCAGGCAGAATCCAGAGCTAATGACGTCTATGATAGATATCATACAATACAGTTGGACAATATATTCATTGAGGAAATAGTCAAGATAGTTTGAAGACAAACGCTCATTGATCCTTCCGCACCATGGATCCAGAAAAGATTCTGAAACCACTCCTACTACGTGTTTGTATATAATTGCAGTGCACGTGCAATAAAGATGTAGCAAGTCTTAAAGACTGTCTGATGACCGACCCTCACCAGAACTAAAAGCTGGGAGACGTGCATGATGAAATTTCGCACTAATTCACATCCTACACGGCTGATATTTCCAAGGCTTTCTTAAGAGTAGGACTACAAGAAATAGATAGAGATTAATACCGATTCTTGTGCCTGACAATCCCCAGGATCCTCAAAGTCCTGTGAAAACATCGTTTTAAGTCAGTATGTTTGGTGCAACATCCTCTCCATTCCGTAACAAGAACTAACTCTAAATACACATTTGAAGAAATCAGAAAGTTCCGTCTTCAAAGAAATCATAAGAAAAGTTTCTATGTAGGACAATCTCAGTACTGTTGAATAAAGAGGAGGATTTGAAATCCTTAACAGAGAAGCTAACAAGAGAGAGAAAAAGCAAATATCCTCTAAGGAAGTGGAATACATTTTCAAAAGCAATAAAGAACTAAGTTCAAAGAAAGAATTCCTAAACTGAAATTCCTGATTGCAACAATATGCTGACATAAATTGTAACACACAGGAAAGATACTTTGAGTCTCAAAAAGATAAACGATAAATCATCAAGTAACACTCACCTAAACGTAGTTACTGTCAGAGGTATTACAATGTTTTGATCCTGTATACTCGCTCACCAATTACCAGAAAGGGTAAAATGCTTATTCAAATGCATTGAAGCACAAAATTGGATGGATGAGAACTTGCCTCTAGAAATGAGTTAAGGCATGGGATAAATTTCCAAAGATTTTAAACAAGTTCACCAAATTATATTTTCCCAATCAAATAGGTCAAGAGGAAACAATTACACCATTACATAGGTTATGGCGCTGTAGCTTTACATGAGTAAAGCTGAAGGAAGTTACAATAATACTTCAAAGGCCAGGGTCGCACCCCTTGAAGGTCAGAAACAGTACCACAACTGGAACTGACAGCACACTATGTAGGTACAAAATTAGTACTATCTCAACAAAGGTACTTGATCATCTCACTATGAGAAAATCCGGTGATCTGGAGGTGATTAATGAAGCATTCTCCAATGGTTAAATAAATAATAAGAGTAATGTTGGTCTAGTGTACAGAACAGAGTAGCAGAAATAAAAGAGATGCAGAGAGATTATCTCTTTCCTCCACGTCTCTAACCCAAGAGAATCCAGGGACATGTTGTCACGTGTGTGTCCCCACTCAGAAATTTGTGGATAATAAATTATGGCTCCACGGAACCAAACTGGCTCTCTAATAAAAATAACTGGCCTCAGCAAAAAGCTCACATTATCCATAAGAAACAGTGTTTTGCTTGAACACAGCAGAAATAATCTGTGTAATCTTCAGACACAACAGAAATATGTACATTGATGGTATCTAAATACCTCATCTTTGGAAACTCTTAAAGTTTACAGCTCTTGTCCTTTAATTCATAAAAAAAATAAAAACATAATATTAAATATCTTGAACCCATTATACAGGGTTGAAACTAATACAGAGAAAGAATGTTTTCTTCTACAAAATATAAATTTCTAGAAACACAATAATCCTGTTATGATTACAATTCCTTTAGACTTTATCTCGACTCAGAAAAGATTGATACAAGATGTCGAGGAAGAATTCATAAATCTTCACTACTAAAAGAACCATACAACCAATCTGATCCCAAGAATCATTTGCTATCAAACTGATTGTGCAAAACGCCCACAGTAACTTGTTACATGGTGTGTAGCTGACACAACTTTGTCATATACGACAATCTACTGGGAATACCTCAAGGTCGACAAAGTGTGAAAAAACAAATCAAGGACTGTATTAACGTGTCGTTACTAGGAAACGGGGTGGGGGGGGGGGGGGGGGGGAAAGGAGGGGGGGGGGGGGGGGGGGGGGGGGGGGGGGGGGGGTGTGGGGGGGGGGGGGGGGGGGGGGGGGGGGGGGGGGTGTGGGGGGGGGATGGGGGGGGGGGGGGGGTGGGGGGGGGGGGGGTGGGGGGGGGGGGGGGGGGGGGGGGGGGGGTGTGGGGGGGGGGGGGGGGGGGGGGGTAAGGGGGGGGGGGGGGGGGGGGGGGGGGGGGGGGGGGGGGGGGGGGGTGGGGGGGGGGGGGGGGGGGGGGGGGGTCGTCATGCGAGGTTGTCAGTATCCAGGTCCACCTCATATCCCTCTGAAAGAGTTTTTATCATATCAATCCATTTGAGTGACAGTATAGATTAACATGGACCATTAATTTTTAAACCAAAACATTGGCAAAGTTCCCTTCAAGTTTACATCTGTGTTAGTCACTTGTGCTACAACTAGAGGCATACATCTAAAGTAGCCACTGACATGCCTGCTGAAACCTTTACAAATTATTCAAAGTTTGTTTGCAGCCAGAAGAGCTAATGTCCATACTGATATTTCAGGCAATGCAACGAAACTTTGTTGCTGGGCTCTTATATACGCAAGATCTTGATCAACCAGAAGTACAACAGATGCGAATCAACGCAGTTGTCGTTGAGAACATTCCTCCTAAATCTCCATGGCAAGGCGATTTATGAAAGAATGATCGGCATGGTAAAACGTTGTTTTAAGAAGACTCTCATCGTCAAGAATCGACTTAGGATAATTCCGTACAGTTGTGACTGAAATATAAAAAAAAGTCAACAACAGACCTAAATATGTTCCGATGATCTGGACAATTTAGAAGTGTTAAGTCCCTGTCATTTTTACTCATGGCAGAAGGCTCGAACCTGTTCCTATCATGAATGATAAAGAAATCATAGAGGATCCTAACTTATTTCGAACGCTGATAAAACACTC